AATGAGCCGCTTCGCTGCGAGGCGCACAGGCGGGGGGGACGTGGACGGGGACGGAGGGTCTTTGGTGCCTGCAACAAAGGGACGCGGCCGCTTCGTTTTCCTACTGGGTCCCGGCAGCCAGACTCTACAGAGCTTGGTTGTCAGCTGAGCTCTCAATGGACAGAAGGCTTGGCTAGATTATGGCGGGGGTGGGGTGGGGGGTGGGTTTGGGTTTTGGGAGGGCCACACTCGGCAGTGCTCAGGGTTTACTCCTGGCGCAGTGCTCAGGGATCTCGCATTCCCGGAGACATGGTGCGGGGGGGGGGGGGGGGGGGGAATCAAACTGATATTGGCCATGAGCAGAGCAAGCACCTTACCTGTACCATCTTTCTGACCCCAATAACTTCTTTTTAGTGTTTTGTTTTCTCCTCTCCTTTCCTTCCTTCCTTCCTTCCTTCCTTCCTTCCTTCCTTCCTTCCCTCCCTCTCTCCCTCCCTCCTTCCTTCCTTCCTTCCTTCCTTCCTCCCTCTCTCTCTCTCTCTCTCTCTCTCTCTTTCTTTTTTAATTTATTCATTTATTTTCTTTTTGGCTTTTTGGGTCACACCTGGCAATGCACAGGGGTTACTCCTGCCTCTGCACTCAGGGAATTACTCCTGGTGGTATCTCAGGGATATGGGATGCTGGGAATCAAACCTGGGTCGGTCGGCCACGTGCAAGGCAAATGCCCTACCTTCCTTTCTTTCTTCCTTTCTTTCTTCCTTTCTTTCTTTCTTCCTTCCTTCCTTCCTTTCTTTCTTTCTTTCTTTCTTTCTTTCTTTCTTTCTTTCTTTCTTTCTTTCTTTCCTACACCCGGCGATGCTCAGGGGTTCCTTCTGGCTCTGCACTCAGGAATCACTCCTGGTGTTGCTCAGAGGACCATATAGAATGCCAGGAATTGAAACCAGGTTTGCCGTGTGGAAGGCAAACACCCTCCCTGCTGTACTATCTCCGGTCCTCTAAAGTGTTTTTTCCTTATGATAAAATGTAGCATGCAATTTGCGAGAGGTTGTGAGGGCACTTGCCTTGCATGTACCCAACCTGGCATCTACCCTGCACCACATCAACTGGCTGAGCATCTGCTGGTGCATCCCTGAAGGACTCCAGCACTGCCAGAGTGGCCTAGGAGGCCTGGACACTGCAATGTTTGACCATCAACCATAGGCCAGGCCAGCTGAGACTTGCAGATGGGCCGTGAGTTGAGGTCTGCTTGGGGTCCCCCAAAATTGACCCTGTTTAGTGCAGGTGAAGAGGATCCAGGACATTTAAGTGCTTATCTCGTTCTCTCCGCCTCCCACTCCAACTTTCACACCTTCCCAGGCAGAAACCGATAGAACACCGAGTCCCCACTCCTTTTCCCTGGCCCTGAAAGCCCGGACTCCTGCCTCTGACCTCACAAGTGGAATCATGCACTATGGGGGTGGGGCGCCTCCCTCATTTCAGCTCCCGTGAGGTCCCCACGGTGCATTGTCAGGATTTCACGCAGATAGCTTTGGGCCAGGAGCCACCCTCATCACTGTTGGGGATGACCTGAGTGGAGACAGGGAGGGACAGTGCGCGTCCAGTGTTGAGTTGTGCTCAGCCACTTCCGCCTTGTGAGTGGACTGAGCCCCCCCATCTCTGGGCCCCCAAAGGCCCCCAGTGCTGATGCCTGTTCTTCTCCCACCTTCCAGATCTCCAGCGAGCACCCTCTCCCTCCAACGACACCACAGGTGGACATGGCTGGCACTGAATCGGGTGACCAAGGGGGTGGTCACCACGAGATTGTTAGAACAAAATATGGAAGGCGAGTATATCTGCTGACCAGTCGGATGGAAGAACTGAGCAGATGATGGGAGCAATCGCCCACAAATGATCTTTAGCTCAGGGCTAACTCCTGGCTCTGCTCAGGAATTGCTTCTGGCGGTACTCAGGGGTTACTCCTGGCTCTGCTCAGGAATCGCTTCTGGCGGTACTCAGGGGTTACTCCTGGCTCTGCACTCAGGAATCACTCTTGGCGGTATTCGAGGGATCATATGGGATGCCGGGGATCGAACCTGGGTCAACTGTGTGCACGCAAGTCAAGCGCCCTCCCTGCTGTCCTGTTGCTCTGGCCCAGCTCTGGGCATTTGCAACTTGCTTTTACTAGTTACTCACAAGACCTTGAAGCACATTCTTTCATTTGTTTTGGGGTTACACCAGGTGCTCAAGAGTCACTCCGTGCCAGGGCTTGGGAGATCATGTGGTGCTGGAGACCAAATCTGGGCCTCCTGCATGCAAATTTTGTGTTCCAGCTCTTTGAGTCACCCCCACTAAAAGGGGCATGGTCTTACTGGGACATACTCTGGAAATCTGTTCTTTTTTGGGGGGGTTGGGGCACACCTGGCAGTACTCAGTGCTTGCTCAGGCTCGGACCCTCAAGAGATAACTCCTAGAGGGAATCAGGGGACCATATGAAAAGTTGGGGAATGAACCCAGGTTGGCTGAATTCAAGGTAAGCGCCTTACCAGCTATACTATCTCTCTGGCTCCTCAATGTACTTTTTATTCTGTGTGTGTGTGTGTGTGTGTGTGTGTGTGTATGTGTGTGTGTGTGTGTCTGTCTGTCTCTGCCTCTGCCTCTCTTTTTTGTATTTAAGCAGTGGAAACAGACAGTGCAGTGAGTAGTACCTAGTACAGTACCCAAGGGAGAACACATGGGACTGAGGGAGGATTGAAGAGCTTGGGGGTGCCTGACAGTGTCAGGCCTTTCAGGGCCATGAGAAAAACTTTGATTTTATTTCACATACTTTCCATGAGAAGCCAATAAAGGGCTTTAAGAAAAAGAAGTAAAGTGTTGATGATGATGAGAAGTAATTAACACCCCACATACCAGTTCTGGGCCAGGAAAGGTTTTTTATTTTTCTTTTAAAAAAATCTGGATTTTTGCACTCCACCTGGCAGTATTATTCCTGGCTCAAAATTCTCTGCTGTCAGGGATCACTTCTGGCAAGCTCAAGGGACCACTTGGGGTGCCAAGGATTGAATCCAGGTGAACCCTGTGTCAGCGTCCTACCCACTGTACTCTCTCCACCCCCAAGGTAAGGTTTTAAGCTCTTGTGAAATAACCAATAGGTCACTCCATCCTTCAGACAGTCCAATCAAGTAAAAACTCCAAAAGCACAGGAAGAACATAGGGAACTCATCCAGCTCTCAGGGCTGGTAAATTCTGTTGCAATCCCCAGTCACTCTCCCCACTGCTAAGTCACAAGAGTCAGAGTTGCTGCAAGCTGGGAGGAGGGATTTTGCGGGAGTTGCTGCTGCCTGAACCTTCAGCAATGTTCCCCTGGCTCACAAAGCTGCCCAGAGCAGTTCTGAGCACATTCCTGGTATAAATATCTCCCGAATGCAGAAGCTGTAGACTCAGGCATGCTGGCGTTGAAGCACATTTATGAAATATTCTAACAACAAAAATTAAGAAATCCCTAGAAAGTGTGGTCTGACCTGTAGGATCTCTCAAAAACAAAATCTAGAGATAGTATAGAGATCCAGGGGTTAAGTTGTGTGCTTGGTAAATAGTAAACTCCCCATTTTGATTCCAGACACTGCCAGGGAGCAATCCCTAAGAACAGAGCAGGAAGGAGCCTCAGTCCTCCCCCACAACAAAACAAAAATAATAAAACAACAATCACAAAAAAAAGGATGCATGAGTAACTGAATTTATCAACAGAAAAACAACCCCTCAGTGCCCTATTTCTCCTGCCATCTCCTCTCCCCCTGGCACAGTGGGGAAGGAAGGACTTGAGCTAAGACCAATAGGAGCACACCAAATTTGATGGGTAAATTGCAGAGAAGCCCACCAAGTTCAGCTAGCAAAAATGTTAGCACCAAAGGCTCAACCAGCTCAGTGGATCCTCCATGACATCTCTAACACCCTTGTGAGATGTAACGGTGATCACACATTGAGTTTTATTTTTGTTGAAAATTGAGTTTGAGGGGCTGGAGCGATAGCACAGAGGGTAAGGGCATTTGCCTTGCACGCAGCCGACCCAGGTTTGATCCCCAGCATCCCATATGGTCCCCTGAGCACCGCCAGGAGTAATTCCTGAGTGCAGAGCCAGGAGTAACCCCTGGCTGGGTGTGACCCAAAAAGAAAAAAAAAAAGGAAAAAAAAACTGAGTTTGACTGACCTAGTTTCTGATCATTCTATTTGCCATTTTGTTGCAACAAGCAATATGAAATAAAGCTGTTTGTGCCTGCTAAGAGGGAAGAGAGAGAAAGAGAAAGAGAGAGAGCCAGTGCATGTGTGTGTGTGTGTGTGGTGTGCAGGGTGTGCTTGGAAAACTGGGGACGTTGGTGACAGGAAGGTCACAATGGTGATGGGATTGGTGTGGGAATATTGTATGTCTGAAACAAGTGCTTCATGAACAACTTTGCAAATCATGACATTTAAATGTTAAAAAAATAATAGTAATAAGAGGCCGGAGGGATAGTATAGCGGGTAGAGCGTTTGCCTTGTATGCCGCAGACTAGGTTTCATCCCCAACACCCCATATGGTCCTCGGAGAAACGCCAGGAGTGATTCCTGAGTGCAGAGCCAGGAGAAACCTCTGAGCATCGCCGGATGGGACCCAAAAAGCAAAAAAAAAAATTTTTTTTAAATAACAAAATAGGGGAAAAGATATAAAAGACTTGGTAAGTAAGGCCGGGGCGCAGAGAGGTGAGGACGCAGAGAGCTAGGGACACAGCTGGGCGTTGAGCAATAGGGGCGTGGCGTAGGCGGGGCTGTGCGCGGCAAGGCCGGCCGGGGCGTGGCTATCCGGGGAGGGGCTGGGCTATCGGGGAAGGGGTGTGACTAGCTGTGATGGAGGCGTGGCCAGTCGAGGAGGGGCGGGGCTATCTTGGGGCCGGGACATGGCTAACCAGAGGGGCGGGGCGTGGCTAGCTGGAGCTGGGGCGCGGCTAGCCGCGGCGGGGGCGTGTCTGGAGGCGTGACCCCTCGGCGGTGGGCGTGTCGAGGGCGTGGCCTGCGCGGGGAAGATGGCGCTGCGTCTGCTGCGAAGGGCGGCGCGTGCGGCGGCGGCGGCGGCGGCGGCAGTGGCGGCGGCGACGCTGCCCAGGCTGTGAGTGCAGTTTCCGAGTGCCCCTCGGGCTCGCCCAGGTCCCACTGCGGCTCAGCCCCCGCGGCCCGCGCGAACCCCGGCCGGGAGGGAGCACGTGTGTCCGGACGCCCGGGCCAAGGTCGTCCCCCTCGCTGCGGGGGACCCTCGCTGGGGCCGGGGAAGTGGACCCGCGTCGGGCCCCGGCATAAGCGCAGCCCGCGAGCAGTCGCGGTTCCCCGGCCGTGCCACCCATCTCTTACCCACCAGAGCTTTCGCTTAGAGCGATCGAGACATTCGAACATTTAGAAGCACACACAAGTAGCATTGATCGGAGTTGGGGGGTAGGGGGAAATTACTAACGTTTCTCCCCAAACCGTGTGAGGAGAGTGTGCCGCTTTGACAGTCTCCCTGGTATCATCAGGACCAGCTGGAGCCTCAGGTCAGCGGTTCTCAGACTGTCCAGGGCCGCCTGGTGCCCGCGGAGAGGCAGAGACGCCCGCGGGGCCGGGGACCGCACTTTGCAAATCACCCGACCGGTCCGCGCTGGTGCAGAGGCGTGCCTGTCCCCTGTCTCCGCGCGTGGGCAGACGCGTGCGTGTCCCCCCGCCTTTGGGTCCCACGCCCACCGCGTGGGGAAGTCAAGGGCTTGTTCATAGAGACGAGGAAACCGAGGCTCCCGGAGGCCCCTTGGCCTGGAGTGGCCACGTTGTTGTTGGGTTCAGAAGTGAAGTCTGGGGTTCCTGGGCCGGCACTTTTAACATCTCTGGTCACCTGCCGTTCCAACCCACTCTCTGCGAGTAGGAGCGCCGGACTCTGAAGCGGGAAAGGCTGCTGAGAAAATATTGCTGGGGGAACTTCTAGAACGTTCGGCGTCTGAGCTATAAAAGGGGCCAGCTTTTGGGCCGCAAGTGTCGTGACCGTGCGCGCAGGCACACACACATATACACACACCACACACCCTCTTCCAGTGCTCACCATGCTCTCCTCCGCCCCTTAGCTCACTGGCTCCTTCTTGACCCACCTGTTGGGCTGTCGGGGCCACCAGGAGTGCCCAGAGCCTGTGCCTGGGTCAGATCCGCACCGTGGAGCTGCAGAAATGCCTGTGTCAGCCCAGATGCAGAGGCAGGGGAGTCACCTTGGCTCTTGCACCAGGTGGATGCTCTCCCTCCGGCCATTGGCCTTTTCACTCTTCTGACCCGGGCCCCAGGGCTGACTGCAGAGACCGTTCCCGACCCAGCACTGGCTCCCGTGGCTGTCCCAGCTGTTTTCCTGCCCGTCTTGCCTCCAGCCCTGCTAATCCTTGCAGCTGCTACTCCATCTCCGTAAATGCCCCCCAACTCCCGGGGGTGCTACTGCGAAGGGGGGTCTTTTCCCCGAGGTCTTCCCAGCTGGACAGTGGAGGAGTCTTTGTGAAGAGTAGCCCGTGTGTACACACACATCTATAAATATTTCCATATGTAGCCATCTGCACCGCTCCTCAGAGAATCACGTTCCCGCTGCCTCCACTTCCAATCCTTTACCACATGGATCATCCCAGCCCCTTCCACTCGCTTATTTGTAAATTTTCGCTCCAACAGTGAGCAACCTGGCTTGTACCATCTGCCATCCCTCATTTAATTGTTCAGTGTCCCTTTACGTGTATGTGTACATGTGGCGGTATCTGAATTGTTAGACCCGTCTCTGTGGGTTCTGACAATTGGAATTCAGGGCTGCCGGGAAGCTCACTCCTCCGTCACTCTCAGTTACAGCTTTTCATTCCATTCCCTCCACGGTGCTTCCCTCCCTTTGTAACCCAGATTCTCTTGCCACGGTTGCATTCTTTCCTGGGTTCCCCACACCTCACAGATGAGTTTGTTTGGGGCCACCGGTGCTCAGGGCTTATTCCTGGCTCTGCACTCAGGGATCACTCCTGGCAGGCTCAGCGGACCCTATTGGGTGCCTGATTGAACCCAGTTCAGCCGCATGCAAAGCAAACAAATGCCTCCCCTGCTATCCAATTGCTCTGGCCCGGTGATTTTTGTTTGAAACCGTTTATGTTACTGTCACTCTTTTGGCTTGTGCCCTCTGTGACTTTGGTAAATGCACACTGTCACGTGTCTATCCTACAGTACCTCTGCTTCACCTGTTTCTCTTTCCTCCTCCTCCTTCCAAACTCAGGGCCAGCCCCATCTTATCCCGGTCAGTTTGGCCCTTCCCAGGCTGCCCCATGATCACAGCTGTCCAGCAGTGGGGGGGACTCTTTAGACTGCTTCTGCTCTTCATTGTCCTGTTACACAGAGGGTCCTCCTGTCTCTGTGCCCTGATAACTTATTTTCTTCTCTGGCTGAATAATATTCTCGTGTGTAGATATACCCGTGGTGTATTCGATATGCCAAAAAGAGTAACGACAAGTCTCACAATGGAGACGTTACTGGTGCCCGCTCAAGCAAATCGATGAACAACGGGAGGACAGTGCTACAGTACATAGATATATCCCGTTTGCCGAATGGGAGCTGCTTTGGTTGCCGCTAGATTTTGCGGATTTTGAGTAGAGCTGCTATAAACGTCCATGGGTGGGTTTCGTGTGGGTCTAAGGTGTCCGGAGCCCTTGGGAATTGCCTGATTGCTGTCTGTGGAGAGGCCTAGACTTGGCTTTGTTGGAACCTGCCAGACCCTCCAGAGTCGGGTCCAGCTGCTCGCGGTGAAGATGCTTCTGTTGCTCCAAACTCTTGCAGGCGTTGGAGATTATCAGTAGCCATTCTTTGTGTTTGTTTGTTGTTTGGGGGCTCACCCATCAGTGCTCAGGGTTTACTTCTGGTTCTGTGCCGGGGGGGTGGGGAACCATCTCGGGTGCTGGAGATCCGACCTAGGTCAGCTGCATGCAAGGCAAGTGCCGTATCCACTGGACTATTTCCCTATTACCCTGGCCTCCTCCGTTAGCCGTTTTATTTACTTATATTTATTTAGAGTTTTGGGACCCACCCGGCGGTGCTCAGGGGACCATATGGGGTACTGGGCACCCAACTTGGATTGGCCGCGTGCAAAGCAAGCCCCCTACCCACTGTCCTATCTCTCTGCCCTGACCATTCAGTGGCGGTAAGTAAAAGTAAGTAAAGTAAAGGCCCTCCCGTTGATCTTCGATTTGCTCGAGTGGGCCCAGTAACATCTCCATTGGAGACTTTTGTTGTTACTGTGTTTGGCATATCGAATACATCACGGGGAGCTTGCCAGCTCTGCCGTGCGGGCGAGATACTCTCGGTAGCTTGCCGGGCTCTCCGAGAGGGGCGGAGGAATCGAACTTGGGTCGGCCATGTTGGCTGCGTGCAAGGCAAATGCCCTACCGCTGTGCTATCGCTCCAGCCCCAGTGGTGGTAGGTTGTTATTTTCTTTTGCTGTGACCGCCCTCCCACACCTTCGTTGCTGTGTTGGGTGTGATGCGGGCACACGTGCTCCCTGGGGCTCACACTCTTTTGTCGTGGTGTTCACAGCAGCCCTTCCGATTATAGTATGTGTGTGTCTGTGTGTGTGTGGGGGGGAGTTGTCGGGGGTGCCCACACATGTGCTAGTGGTGAGGGTGGGTGGGAGGTATTGTACTCCTGACTGCAGTGCTCACGCACATCTATCTGTGTGCCCGATGGCAGAGTTCCTGAGAGCCCATAGACATGGCATGTGGGCGGCCCCACGGGTCAAACTCGAGGCCTCGATCCCCCCTCTGCTTCCATAGTCATTTGTTTTCCCTTCCGGTTCTCTAAGGACAACCATCGATGACTCACTTGCTCAGAAGGTCTTCAGGGGCCTTGTGCATCTGAAGTGGCTTGTTCTTTTCTTATTGCTGAGTTGTGGGGCGCTGGCTGTCTGGGTGTTCTGCAGAGACTTCCTGTGATCTTTTCATTCTCTCAACATGACTCTTTTAGGGGCTGGGAGCTCACCTGCCATTGCTCAGGGGCTCTGAGCTCGGGGGTTGCTTCCACTTGTTCTTGGGGGACCATGAGGTTCTGGGGACCAAACTGGGAACTGGGTCAGCCACACGCCTGGCACTCACCTTAATCCCTGTTTGGTTTCTCTGGCCCACCATAGCCTTTCACAAAGCATACGTTTCTGGTTTTAATGAAGTCAGACACCAAGCTACTTTTTTTTTTTTTTCCTTAGATTCTGCTTTCAGTGGTTTGTTTTGGTTTGGTGTGGGGGCCACACCTGGGAGAACCTGGGTCAGCCATGTGCAGGGAGGTGCCTTGCCTCTGTATGCTACCTTTCCAGCCCCCTGCTTTTGGTATTGGTTATAAAAACTCACGGTGGTCTGGTGGTCTGGAGAGAGAGGGCATGCTCTCTCGCAAGTAAGGTGCTCGCTTGCAAGCAGCTGACCTGGGTTCACTCCCCGGCATCCCATATGGTCCTCCAAGCACCTCCAGGAGTGATTCCTGAGTGCAGAGCCAGGAGTAACCCTTGAGAATTGTCAGGTGTGACACTCCCCGCCCCCCCCCCCCCACACACACACATATACACGCACTCCACTGCAACAAAACAAAACAAAAAAATGTCGGAGGACTTCTGGTGTGGCCTGGCTGGCAGGGACGGGATCTGCCAGGGGTTTTGAAAGGCTGCAGTTGCCAGCTCAGAGCCTGAGCCACCTGCAACAGTTGTGTCCTGTGGAGATTGGGCTGTGAAGGGCCTGTTTCAGTGGTGGGGGCAGACAGGTGGGCTGGAGAAGGATGGACGAACTCCTTCTTGTAAATTATATTGGCTATTTTGAATACTTGAGTCTTCTATATAGAATAAATATTCTATATAAACTTTCTTTCCTCCCTTTCCCATATCCGTGAACTAGCTTGCTGCGCATTTATTGAGATTGTGTTGAATCTAAGTTGGGGAAAATAGACTTATTTTTTTCTTTTTGGGTCGCACCCGGCAATGCTCAGGGGTTACTCCTGGCTCTGCACTCAGGAATTACTTCTGGTGGTGCTCAGGGGACCATATGGGATGCTGGGAATCGAACCCAGGTTGGCCACATATAAGGCAAATTATCGCTCCAACCCCAAAATAGA